TTTTCTTGCTGATCCGAAAAATGATCCGATCCGTGGGTCAAAAACCGTAATGTGATCCGAACCGTGAGATTTGTGATCGGTTGAACCACTAAACATTACTGAACATACTCTTCTATTAGCCACACAGTGCCATCTACTGGACGCAAAGGAAGTGTGCAGAACACATCATGAAGTTAATGATCTTACCTCCAGTTTCTTCTCCATAGACTCGATTCTGTCCTTCTTGCTGGCCAGATTGGCTCGGGTGTAGCGGCTCTGTCCAGGCAGGTACAGGACCTGACTGTAACACTCCTCCCACACCTGGTTATACGCCTCCATAGACAGATCTCCGTGACTCATCCCATGTTTCACCACCTCCATCTCCTGAGCCAGCAACTCTCCGGCCTGTCACACACACACACACACACACACAAAAACACACAAACAAACAAACAAAACACACACACACAAACAAACAAACAAACACACACAGCGTGAGCAGCTGATGCACTGGGTCTGACTACAAAGAGTCATGAACTTTATGACTGAACTCAATCTATACGCTCTGGTCTGAAATGAACTGGATAAAAGCAAACTGCTTCACATAAAGACTTTATCGGTGAATATAAGAGAAATATCCAGGTCATAATAAATGAGATAAAACTGCATAAAGAAATTAAGTCTAAGACTCTTTTGCAATGTGACATTATTATTGACAATTAAGCACTTGTCTTTGCTTTAGTATAATAAACAGCTAGTTCCAATTCATTTTAATGCTCTTAAAACATTTCATTATATATTTTTTTTATTTGTTTAAATATATTAAATATAGCAATATATTTAGATTTTATTTAAATGTTTTTGTTACATAATTATTGATTAGTTGCATAAGAAACAGTTAATTCTAATTCATTTAATGCTCTTAAAAGTCATACACTATGATTTTTTTTATATTAAATGTTACAATATATTATTTATATTTTATTTAAATGTATTTTTTACATATTTTCTTTTATTTATTATTGATTAGTTGTTGCAGCCCTGCTTTTTATTACAAATTACCATCTCATTTCATTATCAATTCGTAGTAGAATATCATTTTCCCAATACAGAAAATAAAATTAGGATTTTTTAAAATCCAATTAAATAAAAAAAAATAAGATGATTTGTTCAAATCATCAAAATCGTTATTCACAGCCCTACTGAAAAGTAATGACAGTGATGTAAATGTGCGTAACTATAAAGACACAATGCATCTTAAACATTTTCTTAAATAGGCTTCATTACGCAAAAAATTAGACGGGGACATTTCTAAATGTCACTCTTCTAAATAATTGCAAGGCCACACTGAATCTGTACCTGCAGAATAACAACAGCTCCAGAGATTCACACAGAATTTGAATAACCTCTCCAGCCGTCTGCCTGTTCCCACGTATAATTTAATGATATCATTTTATAATAAATCACTTTCAGATTTTGCTCCCTGATTAAAAAAAATAAAAAGTGTCTATTCCATGTGGGTCTAACAATTAAAAGCAGCAAACCTTTTTGAGCTCTTCCTCTGAGACCTTTTCGTAGGGTGTTTTCTCCAGGTAAGCGATGTGCTCGGCGTTGTTGGAGCTGGATCCCACTCCTTTCCCTTTCTTGGCCAGGCCGTCGCTGAAGAGGTGATGCATACAGTCGAAGTGGATCATGGTGATCATTTCTTTCTTAATGACCTCTTCGGCCTGCTGCAGGTCCGTCAGCGGCGGCTCCACATTATGAGGCCGGAGGATCGTCTCATTGACCTGAACACATTTCAGGCTGCTCTCACGACACTGACAAGGTACGCGATACAGTACGAGACCAAACGCGACTTCATCTCATTGTAGTGTACATCACTTTAAACTGTTAAAAAGTGTAATAGTTTGCATAACTAAATGAGGCAAAAACACCTAAGAGCACCTTGTCTAGTCTAGAATGGCTAGTCTTAAACAACTCAACAACTAGTCAAGTTCTGCCCCACATTACTTTACTCTACAACACATGACATTATTAAAGATAAATTTGGTGCAAATCTTTGAGATGGTAGGTTCCTGAAAAGTTTGCATTTTACAAATGTCAATGTGGCAGTGTTGTTATCGTTAACAAACTACAACTATTTAAAAAAAACAAAAAAAACATTAGAAATGTTGCCTTGGCAACTAAATGAAAGTTACTAAAACTAAAATAAAACTAAATGAAAGTTACTAAAATAAAAATGAATAAAAATGAAAAAATAGAAATATGTATACAAAATGTATTAAAACAATAAACACAACAAAATGACTAAACCTTAAACTAAAATAAAATTAAAATATAAAAATATTAATAAATACTCTAATAGTATATTAAAACTACATAATACAAATGTTACTGGTAACAAAAACTGTGAACTGAAATAAAATAAAATATAAATTCTACATGAAAAAAACTTAGTTGCCTTGGCAACTAAATGAAATTTTTTTTAAGTTACTAAAACTAAAAAAAAAACTAAAAACTAAATAGAATATTTATAAAAAATACAAATAAAAGCAAAAAAATTACTAAAACTTAAACTATAATTAAACACATTTTGTTTTGTTTTTATTTTACAACAATAAAAATAAATTAAAAATATTAATAAATACTAAAACAGTATATTAATCCAGATTATAAATGTCACAGTATGTGGCAGTGTTGTTAACAAAAACTATTTCAAAAGATTTGTTAATTGCAATAAAACAAAAAAGAAATTATTAATTCTACATGTTTTAAGTTAAGTTACTAAAACTGAAATAAAAACTAATAAACACTAAATAGAAATAAAATAATAAAAAAAAATTTTTTAAAAACGCAACAAAATCACCCAAACTTTAATTATAGTTAAAAACAAAACAAAAACAAATTAAAAATATTGATAAATACTGTAACAGTATATTAATAATACCAAAACATAAACAAAAAGCATGCTTCAGAACTGTTTTGAGAAGGTGCTTTGAGCCACGTATTATTACTATGAATTAGGCTACTACTACTACTAATAATAATAATTATTAATTAAATTTGCGCTTTGCTTGGCCATTTGTTGGGATAAACAGGAAAGTGTGTCCAGCTGAATTTAATTTGAGTTTTGTTAAACTAATTAAAAAGAAGCTTAGTTTACCGCGGAAGCGGTCGCGGCTGCGGTCGTGTGAAGAAGACCGAAGAGTGTAAAGACCATCGACTCTACCGTGCGACTCCACCGGGCAGGGACACTGGCAAAGGACATAAGTATCGCTTTTTATCTCTCCTCTTTCCACTTCTGTTTCAGGTTTTTATAAACTATTTCTTACTATGTGTCAGTAAGTTGTTGTTATTTTAGCATGTGTGTTTGCCTCAGTGTTATTTTTTTAGGATTACTGATGAACTAATGTACTTTGATTTGTATTAGTTATCTATTTTAGTTTTAGTTACAGTTGTAGTCATGTTGTCATTTTATTAGTTTTTTTATTATGTCTATAGAGGCTTTTTATTAAGTTTTACTTTTATTTAATTTGAGTTATTTCAGTACCTCAACATACAAAATGGAAATGAAATAATATATATATATTTAATGTATTTATATATATGTACATGTATATGTATATGTGTGTGGCTGTACATACACACATGTAGTTGTTTTTTGGTGTTTGGCTTAGTGTTATGTTAGAATCATTATTATACTCATACCTTTTGTTCTTTTAATATTTTTGAATTGTTTTTAGCTTTATTTTTTGTTTTCATTTAAATGTTTAGTTTTGAAATGTTGCTGTATGCATTTGTCATTTTTATTTAATTTATTTTATTTTCTTAAATGTGTATATATATATATAGTATTTATATAGTTTTAGCTTTTAGTTTTAATTACTTTTTCTTATTTGTAAGTCGCTTTGGATAAAAGCGTCTGCTAAATGACTAAAAGTAAAGTAAAGTAAAAGTAAAACAACACAGTTTAGGGGCACAGTGATTGCAACAGGTTAAGTATGCATGTATGGGATGTGTGTATGTCTTCACCTCTGAAGGTCTTGGTAAATCTCTCTGAACTGCCGTGTGTCTCTGACGCAGCTCCTTCTCCCTCTCAGCCTCTCTGACGGCCTGTGGAAATATCACACAAGATAAATAACACCAAAAACAAACACCCTCTGGATCCTGAACAACATCCGTGTTCTTACAGATCTCAGAAAGCTGCATTAGAAGCTGACAGGCCGAGGTGTTTGCTTAACTGACCTGTTTGCGCAGCTCTATCTCGGCCGCATCCTCCACGAAACTCTCGTCCACCTCGGCTTCCTCCAGCTCTTTCTCAGCGTTTTCGGGAAGAACGATCTCAAAGTCATTTCTGGGCACTGGAAGAGACATCAAGCCCTGTCGGAGCTGCTCGCGGGACTCCCTTTGCTGGAACAGACAGAAAACACATCACCATGACGCAAAAACACTTAAATAAATGCATCAAACTGCATTCAATCCACTCAAGGACAAGAGTTTAAATCTCAGACAAATTCAGGCTCATTATTATGGGTGTCACGCACCAAGTGTTTGGCAAATGACGGGTCGCTGTAGTCCACGCCGCCCTCCTCTGTGTTGATGCTGAGCTTGTCCCGCAGCGGGGTCCTGCCCGGGGTCACACCCACTGAGGGTTTAGGAGTCATCCCACTGTGAGGGGTCATGCCCTCGGCTCCGTGACTGGGCGTTCTGGGAAACCATATGCATAAAGTCATTATTCACATAGCTCATTAACCTGAAATTTTGCATATACTTTAAAGGGGTCATATGATGCGATTTCAAGTTTTCCTTTCTCTTTGGAGTGTTACAAGCTCTTGATGCATAAAGAAGATCTGTAAAGTTGCAAAGACTAAAGTCTCAAATCCAAAGAGATATTCTTTATAAAAGTTAAGAGTCATGTTTTTTGAACATTAAAGCATGTCAACATATTCTGTTACACCAAATACACCAAATAATGATCTTTAAAATAGCATCATATGACCCCTTTAATATTATGAGGTATTAGGTGACGTTATGCATAATATCTGGCTCAAAATACACTAACGCTCAAAAGTTTGGGGTCGGGGTTGGTAATGTTTTTAAATAAGTCGGCTCACCAATGCTGCATTTATTTGATAAAAAAATACAGTAAAAACAGTAATATTTTGAAATATTATTACAATGTAAAATAACAGTTTTTATGTGAATAAATAGTAAAATGTAATTTATTTCTGTGATGCAAAGCTGAATTTTCAGCATCATTACTCCAGTCTTCAGTGTCACATGATCCTTCAGAAATCATTCTAATATGCTGATTTGCATAAAAATTTTTATCATTATCAATGTCTATTATCATCATCAGAAAATTGCTTAATATTTTGTTGAAACTGACACTTTCTTTTAGGATCCTTTGAAAATGTTCAAAAGACCAGCATTTATTTGAAATTTACAGTTTTACAGACCCCAAACTTTTGAATTGTAGTGAATTCTGAAATCTGAATTCTATGCTAACAATTATAACTAGCCTAAATTTGATGAACTGTGTTACTGGATGTAAAACTGGCTTTTATTAATATAAAAAAAATATATATTTTCTACATTTTAATATTACTTCTGACTAAACAATATTTTAAATTTTTTATTTTCAGTTTTACTTTTATTTTAGGTAAAGGTTTAGTAATTTTTTTTAGTTCTTGGGGTTTTTATATTTCTTTTTCTACTTAATTTATTTTTATTATTTCAGTTTTAGTAATTTTAGCAATTCAAATTATTGCGGTTAGTTCCCAAGGCAACATTACTAATTTTCTAATTTAATTTACTAATATTCTACAAATTTACAAAACAAATTCTCATGTAGTATTTAAGTATTATTTCAATTAACAAAAAAAAGTCTAAACTAAATAACTAGTCATAACTAGCCTAAATTTAATTAACTATTACTGGGTGGAAATTGGTTTATACATTCATATTAATAAATAATAGGGATGCACCGATACTGGTCTCCTGTACTCGTACTCGTTAAAATGCCCCGATACCAAGCGCCGATACCACACAGCATGTGTAAAGCGCCATACTCAAACAAAGAAACACCGACAACAGAACAACAGACAGCAGAAAGGAGTTAAGGATGTCTACTACGAAGTATATGTATGCAATGAATATAATGTTAAACATTCAGTATTAACGCCTGGATAGCTGATGTGCGCGAGCTGATAAACAAAGCACGCTGAGTGGATTGAGCGCACGGCGGCGCAGATGCGCGTGCGCGAGCTTGTCGAGTGAATATATCTTTCTCACAGACATCACTGGAAAGTGCGGTCGGATATGTCAAAAACAACCAAGTAAAACAATGCACAAGTTATTTAACGGTAGGGAGAGAGAGAGCGTAAAAAATTTACAAATGCAATAAAAATATCGGTATCGGTACTCGGTATCGGCAAGTACCAAAAATAAAAGTATCGTATCGCACGAGTACTGGAAAAAGTGGTATCGGTGCTTTCCTAATAAATAATATTTAACATTAATTTCAAATGAACATTGTTGCTTTGTGTTGCTGTTGGTGATATTTTATTAAAGCAATAAGCTACTCAAGGCAGTGCATTACAGTGATTTTTACAACACTTTGACAAAACCTTGACAAAATCTCTTGTAAACCACAGTTATTGTTTAAATATGGCATTTAATGTTTTAATACTACTTTATAATATTTTCTATTATTTTACAAAATTCAATTATTTTGAGTGTGAACATTCTATACTACGTTTTTCCTGTAAAAGTGCATATTTTCATGCTTGATGGGCACCTGAAGGGTGTAGACAGCACCGTGTTGGGCGTCTGGACCACCTGTCTCTGTGGTGTGACACCAGAGAAGTCGCTCTCATGCAGAGGGGTGTTCAGCCCTCCCTTAAGAGGCGTATCCACGTTCGTAAGTGCCATCAGGTTCTGGGCTTCCTGTGAGGGTGAAAAAACCGAGCGGTGAGCCTCAGGACATAAAACAGGCAGTTTGGAAAGTCTGTGAAACTGTCCCAAACCTGCAGGATCTTGTCCTGTGCTGCTGGAGTTCTGGGTGTGCGCAGGGCCATGGAGTTATTGGTCACGTTGTATTCGGACAGAAGAGCGCTGGAGGCAGAGTTGGTGATTCCAGACTCCTCGGCGGTCTGACGGGCGATTTCGCTGGCCTGACCCAGTTTGACAACCTCCTCCAGCTCAGCGTCAGAGATCTGGAATGAATAATCAGTAAAATGCGGTTTATTCAACATTAACTAACCGTAACTTCTATATTAAATTATTATAATAATTATTATAAAACACACCGAGTGGTTATGCGTGGTTAACGATCAGTGTTGTTTTAATATTTACACTACTGATCAATATTTTGAATTAGCTTTTAATTTTATCTTTTCAGTTTCTTAATTTCAGTTAGTTTTAATAATTTGATGTGCTTGTCATTTTTATTAGTTTTTTTTATATATTTCTATTTAGACTTAATTCATTTGGTTAACGTGTTGCCATAAGTGTTATTTTAGTATTATTTATATACTAGTATAGTATTTATTAATATTTTAAATTAGCTTTTAATTTTAAATGTCCAGTTTTCATTTTAAATACTAAAGTTTTAGTAATTTTATGTGCTTATGTCACTTCCGTTAGTTTTTGTTTTATATTTCTGTTTAGATTTAATTTATTTGGTTAACATGTTGCAATCAGTGTTATTTTTGTACTATTTATTTACTATTATAGTATTTATCTATATTTTGAATTATCTTTTAATAATTTAGTTTTATTTAAGGTTTTACAAATTTTATGTGCTTGTCATTTGTTTTTTAAAATATAATTCTCTCTCCATTTAATTTATTTGGTTAACATGTTGTGATCAGTTTTATTCTACTATTATAGTATTTATTAATATTTTGAATTAGCTTTTAGTTTTTTATTTTCAGTTTACATTTTATTTTTATTTTAAGCTTTAGTAATTGTATATGCTTTTGTCATTTTTATTAGCTTTTTAATTTCTATTCTTTTCAAAAGGGATCTCAGCATTATAGTCCACACCTCTCTTCTTCTTGCGCTTCTTCTGGATGTCGATGCCTGCAGCTCGCAGCTCCCTGCGCTTCTGAAGCGCTGCCAGACGACTGCGGAAAACAGCGGAGAGAAAACAGTGAGGACGGCTTCATGATAAATAACTCAATGTGATCAGCACTGTGAGAACTAATACAATGATCATTATGACACCAACGACAACACTTTTTCAGATCATAAAATCAGCACCTATAACTAAATAGCAAGCTGCTAAAAATATATCATAAAATATATGTTAAAAATATTTATGTCCTCAAAAAGATTCAGCAGAGTTATTATAGTTAACCTAAATTGTTACTTGAAAAAAAAAGAAAGAAAAAAAAAAGACAATTTTATATTTTCCGTTTTCATTTTAACTTTGTTTTTATGTGCTTTTCATATTATTATTTTTTATATACATTTCTATTTAGAATTTCTTTGGTTAATGTTGCGATCAGTGTCATTTTATTTATACACTAATACAGTACTTAATATTTTGAATTAGCTTTTAATTTTAAAATTTGAGTTTTCATTTTAATTTTAGTTACAGTAATTCTTGTGTTTTTTATTTTTCTTAGTTTTTTATATTTCTATTTAGAATGAATTCGTTTATATTCCAGTTTTCGTCATTTTAGTACTTCAACTTTATTGCAGTTAGATGCAATTGCAACATTTCTAATTTTTGTTTAAGTTTCTCATCTAATATTTATATTTTCACTTAAAGGTGATTTTAATAGTTTTAGTTTACTATAAGTACTAGTATGTTTACTACCCAGGACCAGGGTTGAGAGACACTGTGTTAGACGAATATAAAAAGCTTAGTATACCGCGGCAGCCCTCGTGAGAAGACCTAAAAGCGTAAAGACAATTGACTACCGTTTGACTCCACCGAGCAGGGACACCGGCAAGGCACATAAGTATCGCTTCTGATTCATTCTCTTTCCTACTACTTGTTCCCCTTCTGTTTTCAGTTTTTATAACCAATTCTTACTATGTGTTTCCAGATCCCTACAATCACTACCACTCGCAAACCATGCATCACACACTGCTAACAACCTGCGCACTTTGCCTATGTCTACTAATACACTACTTTCTTTTTCTATTGGTCTCTGGAATTGCCAGTCTGCTGTAAACAAAACAGATTGTATTACTTCTATTACAAGTCATTCAAGACTAACCCCTGATTTACACTGCACACGTCTGCGGCACGTTACGGCTCTGAAGAGGTTTTGTTACGTCCTCCACACGGTGCCAACTCACACCAGAAGCGGATCAGAAGCGCAGCGGTAGGATTCGCGAGACCACGTGATTTGCCTGTCAGATGTTGTTTGGTTGCTCATTGTCCTTGTAAAAAGGATTTGTGATGTCATAACACCATGTGTTTTTGTATTTCGAGGATGAACCGCTCGTCGTCCATTTCTGGCCTCCTGCCAAAGTATGTGATCGTGAAATACGATCGGGAGTCTGTTTGTCTGAGTGTTTATTTTGAAATTGACATTATTTTTTGACTTATATTTTGTATTTGCTGTGCGGTTTGGACGCGGCGTCTGTCAAAAATAGACTAGGCGCCTATCTTTAGCGAAGCAGCATGTACTCAGAAGAAGGTCCAGTGGGATTGAAGTAAGCAGGGTTATTATAGGTAATTATTTCAGTTACTTGAAATAAACAAATATCAACAACACAAATTGCAACATTTCTAATTTTCATTTAGTTTAACTGTACTAAAATAACAAACTAAAATGTATAAAAAATATATACAATATGAAAAACTAATAAAAATGACAAAAACAGAACAATTACTACAACTAACTAAAATTGAAAAGGAAAACATAAAAACAAAAACTAATTTAAAATGTTAATAAAAATTACAACAATATTTCAATGAAACTAAAATAACCCTGATTATCAGCCCCTTGTGAACAATTTCAAAAGTATACAGTCTTACACAGATTTATTCAGAGACACACGGCAATTGCTAAAAGACCCCAAATCTGTTCTTATGGCACGAGATCTTACCGTGCTTCCTCCAGCTGTTTCTCTCTGGCTTTCCGCTTCGCCTTCTTGCCTTGTGTGTTGGCCAATCGGGCTCTGGCTTCAGACAGCATCTCCAGCTCATCTGCACACACGAGTTTATGGATGTCATGCATTGTCTTTTCAATCAGAGTGTCAAAACTGTTAATTTCATTGTTTTTCAGACACACTCACCTTCATCCATGTCCACAGGATCAGGTCTGGCTGGTTTGGTCTCAGGGTTTGGGTCAATCTCTCCTGGTTTTAGCTTGCGAGGGTCATCGCCCACATCATCTTCATTCTCTCTCTGAGCGGCTTTATCTCTGTGATCATAAATAAATCAATAAGTAGATTTTTCATACAACCAAAAACATGACTTGACAACTGCAAAGCATTAAACTTGCATAATATGACCAAAACATTTAGAATGAGACTAGATTGTAAAAAGTTAACATTGATTTCAGCACATTGTTCATAAAGCTTTGGCAGCCTGTTTTCCACCAAGGAATAAAAATAAATTTAAAAAAGTAATTGCAACTTTTTATTTTCACAAGTCTGACTTTTCTCACTGATTTTTGCCATATTTCATTACAGCTGCTTTGAGAATCTCATCCTGTTAATGAATCACATAAAAGACATGAATAATTAAAGAGGTCTTAAATAACAGATCAGGGACGCAACAACAAGACGACTCAAATAACAGATCGCTTGACTAATCTAACCAAGCTGCAAATTCTAATGCAAAACTCAAAAAAGGGTGAAATCATTTTACTTTTTGAGCACTTTACACCAAAATAAATTAGCCTAATAGAGTTCTCTCAGAAGTTAGCATACTCGTTTATCAAGAAGATAAGTGTCAGTGAAAACCAAAGCAAATGACACTTGTGAGCAGATTATATATTTTTATGCGTGTCATTTCCAAGCAAGTTGTAAATTAATAATTACATCAAATAAATTTACATTTAGCAAACAGTTTTATCCAAACTTTTATCAACAGAAGCAATTAAAACCAACAAAAGGGCAATAACATGTAAGTGCTGTGAGTGACAAGTCTCGGTTAGCAAGGTTTTTTTTATATATATATATATATATATATAATATATAAAAAGGAAAACAATATAATAGAAAAAGAATAGAGAATGCTAGTGTCAAAGGGTCATTTTTTATAATAAATAAAAAGAAAACAAGAAGATAGAATAGAAGAATAGAGAATGCTAGTGTCAGAGGCTCTCTTTTTTCTTTTTAAAGACGACAAGTAGTAAGAATAGAAATAGAATAGAGTTCAAGTGCTAGAGGGTTAAGTTTTTTTTCTCTATTAGAATTATAATAGAGTGTGCTAGAGTTAGAGAGTCAAAAAATAATAAAAAAAAAAATTAATGAATAAAATAAATTAAATGGCCGGCAAAAAAAATCATAGTAAAAAAAAAACACCTAGAAATTACAGATATTTTAACTTTTCATATACGTGATTTAATATCTGAAAAGTATTAAATTAAAGTATTATCTGATTTTTGTGCTCAATTTTGACAGAGCGAGAGTATTTACCTACTGTAATTAATAATCTTGCTTAAAACAATCTAAATTGTGTGGCTATACACACTTTTGGGAAAATTATGGTAATTGGATTAATGTTGTTGATATTTTCTGCATTTCAAAAATAAACACACATCGCGTTCTGAACGCATTCCGTATCACGACATAAATAAAGCAGCAAATAAAACACATCAATGCAGATATTTGTACATTTCCGATAAAATAATCATCATATGAAGTTCAAATGCCTTTAATGAATGACACGCTGATGATTAATGGAGTTTTGCTGCTTGAAATATTAAGTGTTTTCGAAAACAAACCTCAGTGTTGCGCCACACGCCTCCTTTAATCATAATCCGCGGCATGTTGGCGATTTAAAGTCTTCACACGCGCTCGCGCAGGAAAATCGTCTTCTGGAATCTCAAACACGTAAAATTAAGATGAAATAAGAGAAATAAACTTTGCGTTTGAGGCGCAGCACGTTAAACTGCGGATGAGGAAACCGAAATGGCTGCGAGCGCACGGAACTGTGGGAAACAGGCTCTTCTTCTGTTGATTCACACGGGTTCTGTCGGGTCACTTGAACTCAATATCGCCCCACACGACATAGAGGCGAATGACAGGCTGATCGCTCCGAACAAATATTTGTTTCTTCTTCTTTTTTTTTCTTCTTTTTTTTCTACTTATTTTCTTATTATTATTATTGCACCATACATTGGTAAACAGAGTTGTTTGAATTGTGCTTTTGTAATCCCTCTGGCCCTGGAACAGAGCTGTAAATGTAATAAAAAATAAAAAAAATATCTAGGGTAGGGGGCCTACCGTGCTGCTGTAGCCCAGGGGTTATGTTAAGGCTCCCCTGTATGTATGCATGATATATTGTTGTCATTTTTTAAACATCTAATTTATTTAATAATTTTTATTCATTTATATTTAAAATTTGTATACATTTTATAAAAAAAAAAAAAATTAATGACAGTATGCATATTGTTCTTGGATAATTACATTTTGTGAATTAAAATGCAAAATAAGTTACCATCTACCACCAGAAAATATTCATCGTAAATGTAAAAATGAAGTCCATTAAAGGCTTGTCTCATAATTCTATTATTCTTTATTATTTGGGATTTTTATTTATTTTTGTTTTTGGGGATAACTGAAAAATTATTTACAAAAAGAAGCTGAGATTGTTAATTTTTGTGAGCTGATTTGATGCTAAGTTGTATCTCATTGGATGGTGATAAAAATCTTGTATTTTTATTTAATTATTACGTTTGATCATCATTATATTCATTCAAGTCAGATGGTTTGAAAAAACATCTGTTGCCTGTTTGAACAATTTAAAACTGATATTAAAATGTATTTGGAAACAATATCTAAAAGTAAGAACTTGAGAGCAATATGAACTATGCAACTGTATCCTTGATGTACAATGTTTTTTTTCTTGACATGCATTGGTTGTACAATATGCTTGTTCTCAGTTAAAAACGTTATTTTATTTACATAATTATTATTTATTTCTCTTACTTCGCTTTATCAACATTCCATTCTGTTGTATTCATGGCTTGTCATTTGTCAGTTGCTTGTTTTTGCCTGTAATGGACTATTTTTAACAATGTCCTTACCTTTCTGTTCCTTGAATGTGAAACAGTAGTTCCCTTGCTGTCTATGCAGGGTCAGAAAGCTCTTGAATTTCATCAGAAATATCTTAATTTGTGTTCCGAAGATGAACAAAGGTCTTACAGGTTTGGAACGACATGAGGGTGAGAGATTAATTACAGAATTTTCATTTTTAGGTGAACTATCCCTTTAAGAGGTAAGGTCCCAATGCTAAACAAGCAGTTACAGTCTAGTATCAAGTTATTTATTACTTTCAGTAACAATGCATAGTGCTACACCATGTGTATCTGATACACCACATTATTTGCAGTCAATGTGTTTGTGCTTTGTACCAAGAACAATATATTTTAACGTTGTTTTTCAAATATTTATTGAACTGTTGAGCTTGACAAGATCAGCATTTGCGTAAACATAATGAAAGAATGATGAAGACTGCAACTCATCCCGTCTTCCAACCCAATTGTGTCCTTCATTGGACGTGAGACATGCAAACTAAACAGCACAGCTGGCAAAAGTGTTTCAGATTTCTCTGAACAAATCACAACATGCCCAGAAAGATGACAGTCCAGTGATGGGCCCTATATAGAATTACTAGGAAATAGGCCGGTGTCAACATTAAAAAAGCAGTGCTCTTGTGCCAGGAGAGGCCATAAGGAGCGATAAATGACACACAAGATTCTCGAGGCGAAATATGAAGCAAATCCTCTGAGCAGGTCATCTTTTCTGACTGCTAATGTTGAAAATGAAGAAAGCTGCAGGAAGGTTTTCTTTCCGAGAGCCGGAGGGAGCTACACGACCAAGTGAGGAGCTGAGATAGGACGGACTGATCGAGTGCCACAGAATTTGAAGAGGCTTCTCTCCAGGTACAAAGCGGATCTGGACTGAATTCAAAACCTTGGGCAAAAATGCAAGGAGTGCAAATTTTCCTAAGAAACTTGCTAAGAAACCCGACGTCAACAGAACTGCCAGGTAAAGCTACAGTACAGGCTATGCATTAAGAGGAAGTTCATTTCACACCAGAGTTATTAGCGTTAACTAAAGCTAAAACATTTTGTTACTCAAAACGTTATCTGTAATAATAAAAAATATATATAAAGACTTAAACTGCTGCTAGTTGCCAAGGCATTCTCATTTTCAGTTAAAGCTGAAGTACTAAAATAACTAAAACTAACTAAATAAAAAATGAGTGCTGTCAAGCGATTAATCACGATTAATCGCATCCAAAATACAAGTTTTTGTTTACATAATATATGAGTGTGTACTGTGTATATTTATTATGTATATATAAATACAAACACATGCATGTATATATTTAAGAAAAATATGTTATGTTTATATATTAGATATATTTATATATAATATAAAATAAAATAATCTAAATATATAAATGTACATACATGTAAATATGACAAAAACACAACAAAATGACTAAAATTACACAGAAATTAAAGTAAAAACAGAAAATATTCTGGGAATGTCAATTTATGTTTTTTTTTTCTCTATAAATTTTAACATAACTTCATAATTTTTTTTTCACTTCCAAAACTGTAAATCTAACAGTATTTCACTGTAAAATTACATGAAATGCCCCATTACACTGTAAAAAAAAATCTGTGACATTTACGGTAAAATACTGGCAGCTGTGGTTGCCAGAACTTCACTGTTAAAAATATGGTAGAAACATTTTAGGTTTAACAGACTTAGCTTAAATTCACAATAAAAAAACGTATTTCATTAACTGATGCAATGTTAATAAACCAGCATATTGAAGTGCTAATATCTGTTTTAAACCATTGTAATGCACTGATAACCACCAAAAACAGGTGGTGATGAGAAAGTCACATGATGAATCAAAGCTCATCACAATCAGCTCTTCCAAAAGCTGAGAAGGAAAATACTAATATATATACATAGAAGGTGCACAGTGTCATTCACACAAACACTAAACACCATCATGGTGACGCACATGATACTGAAATAATGCAGTAAACATTAATTTAACAACATTCAATGTAAGATAAAACACTAATGTACACAACTGATAAGAAAAAACTAAGAAGAAACATAGTTATTGCAACGAAAAAACATAAAATATGAAGTGTCATGCAGGGAATTCTGGGAGTGTCAATTTACAGTTTTTCACTGTAAATTATACAATTACTTTTTCTTTTTCACTTCCAAAAACGGTAATTTTAACAGTATTTTACTGTAAAATTACATTAAATGTAATTACAGTTATTCACCGTATATAGTATGGAAACTTACTGATAACCAATTAACAGGTTTTTATTGTAGCCTTTTTACAGTCTTTTACTGTTAAAATCACAATCATTTTTTACAGTGTAGATTTATTACAGTTTAGGAAACCTTATCCAATTAACAGTCTTTTCCCATTCAAATGATGATTATTTTTTACAGTGTAGGATGTTGTGGGTGGTTGCCAGGGAATTCCTATACAGTTGCTAAGATGTTCTGAGTGGATTTCAGCACATTGTTATGCTGTTGCTAGGGTGTTCTTGGTGGTTACTAGGCGGCCGCATAACCAGCTTACAAACTGTTTTCAAGACATTCTATTTTGGTGGTTGGAACAGTGATTTGAAATGTTCTAAAATGCAAAAAGGTCTAGTTTTCTGTGGAATGTTCCTTTAAGATACGCCTATCATTCTTGCAACGTTCTTTCAAATCAATTTTTGTATTAACAACTCAGCATTATAAACATTCACTGGTCAGAGTTTCCCCTTCATCTCTGTGAGTTCTTGTCACTAGATATGGCTTTTTGTTTATGTGAATCAGTGTGTGTGTTCTCTGTGCTCTGCCAGCTGAGCTCAAAAAGACATTTCCATGACAAGTATAGGTCTCTCGCACTTTTAATTCCTCTGTGCTTGTGTTTGATGCGCTGTGTGGGAGGAAGTACTGCAGTGAATTGGGATTAGAGATTACAGCCAGATGATGCGATTTAGAGCTTCGATATATAATCTGTTTATAGTCATATTGTGCCACTGCTGAGCTCATTAAAACCAATAAACTTTAAACCAATAAAGCCTACGAGCTAAATGTGAAATTCAGCAATCCAGGTGGAGAAATTAATCTGTTCAACAAGACGTCACATATTCACATGTGGAGAGAAAACCGGAAAGTAATTATATTTATTAACATATTATTATCATAAAAACTATGAGATTACTTCTTTATTAAGAGCTCTAATCAGATAAGCATGTGCTGAGCTGTGATAAAGCAACAGAATAGAATTGCTTATTGACAGCTAAATTACTAATTATCACGTTTATTTGTATTTTTCACTTTCATGCACAATGCATGCACATTGATGAACATAATGAAATTTGAGTCTTTAAATACCTTGTTAAATTATAGAGTTCTGCACTGTCATCTATAGTGTACTATGTTGATAGTTTCTAATGGAAACAGATGAAGCCAGAGCTAGTAACCTAAACCCAGCTGTTCAAAACGTTTAATCTGGATCAGAATTATTTGGATTTAGAAACCTCATGTTTTGCTATCCAGAATCAGGTAATCCCATTTTTATCAGTTTATTAACCTGATCCAAACACAGAGGTTTTCAGATTATCATACTGACGGTTTGATCCAAAACCACCGCGAGTATGTGATCTATTTTGATTTCAGAATTTATTATTTTCTTTTGAACAACCCATTTTCAAGATTTGATACAATCCAACAGCCAATCCAAATGACCTTTTCTATTATTATAACATCTTGGCCCAGAGGATTGTTTGTGATCAATCTGGTTATATTGATAATGGGTTTATATTTTGGATTATATTCCAGGTCATATGGTAGCCTCGTATGGCAAACTGACCAAAATGTATTCACTGAATTTGGGGTTTTGAGCAACATGAGTAAATGATGACCAATTTTTTGTTGTTATTCCT